ATGCGAACTTATTCACTCCAAAGGAATAAACATCGGTATACCCACCGAGCGTCTTAAAGAAGTCCTACTGAGGTGTACCCTGAATGTTCAATTCTCTTTTAATAACGAAATATATCGCCAAAAGGATGGTATAGCTATGGCTCACCACTAGGCCTTTTGCTTGCAGATTTCTTCATGGCAAAACTCGAAAACACATACCTGAAGAAAATGATCGATACCTTCGAAATCTATAAGAGATACGTCGACGACACTCATTATCGTCAACAATGAAGAAAATCTAGACGACATCTTGAAGTCGTCTAATAACTCCCCTCCCCCGCGATTCAGTTCACACTGGAGAAAGATTCCAACTCTGAAACATCCTTTCTTGACGTCCAACTAACAAGATGAGAACAGGATGGAACACTGAAAATATCTATCTACAGAAAGTCGACGTGGAACGGACAGCTTACTAACTTTCACAATTGGGTACCTCTATACACCAAACGAAACCTGATCTGTTCACTCAGCTACAGAGTTCGCAGAATTTGCACCCCGGATACCATAGAAGATGAACTGGACAATTTCAAGAGAATCCTCGTAGAGAATTGTTATCCAGAACGATTTATTGCAAAAGCTATGAATCCTAGACCAAAAAGCTGCCCATGCTTAGCGTCCCGAAAAACTACTCTACATGAACCTTCATTTCAATGGAGATATATCTGCGGAAACACTAAAAATCAACTGTCGCGCTCACTTAAGAAAACCTTATTCGCAGCTGAACTACGAATAACCCTCTCCACGAAACCTATGATTTGTATGAACGTGAAGGATGAGCTACCACTGCTGACCTCATCAATGTGTATCTATCAATTCACCTGCTCGTGTGGAGCCAGGTATGTCGGCCGTACCCGGCGTTCGCTTTCCAAACGTATCACCGAACACTTACTAACATGGTTTTACAAAGGAGAAAAATGATGCCGCCGCAGCTCCATCTTAGAACATCTGATAGAATCCGGACACCAAGCTACACCCCAAACAAACTTCAAAGTCGTCTACAGAGTAAGAAGTAGTCTTCCTAAAGGTGTACGAATCAGACTTCTTCAAACTGCAGAAGCAATGGCGATTCACTTGCTAAGTCCTGAACTCCGCATACAGAAGAAGTTCGTTCAATCACTACACTTGCAATGGACGTAATCTGTCTTATTACCCGACTAGTAAATTCTACCTAATCCTTTTTTCTCTCAGTCTTCATTAGTATTATTTTGCCTTCTCAATTGTAATATCTTACATTTTCAACCTTCTTGTTCTCTAACCCCACCCGATTTAATTTCTACACCTCACTACCACTGTTACTGACTTGACCAACGCTCAATTTCTAGTCATTTATGTCACGTCATCCAACTTAATTGCTCAATTTCAGTTCTAATTTAAATGGCACTGTTCTCTACCCCACTTCTACTTAGTCTCTACCTGTAATTACCTCTGTTGCTACCCTGACCTAAGTTGAAACATTTTTAGTCAATTATATTACGTCATCTAACTTACTAACTAACTCAATCTTACTTTAGTTGCTGTCTGATTAACCTTGTTTCTATATTGGATCATTCTTGTATTACCTGATCAATTATCTAAACTTGACAAACCTCATGTACACACACAAATAGTAATATATAAATGTGCTGTACGGCTATGTGAATGGATACGCCGAAAAGAGTCTTCGCTTTTCATATTACAGGTCTAGCAAAATTTTCATGCTCCAATTATCTAGTTGACCCCGATCGAATAGTTTGACCTATATAATTGACCCACTAACAGTCATTACAGGCATGGTATTTGGTAAATTATATTACTTTCCTTAATTGGATTTATTTGGTCCTTAAGCCAGCAAAGTTTATCTCTGCGATAGTCGGCTGTTTGGTTTATATGCCACCCTAATTCCAGCGTCACTGAGAATTCTACGTAAGGCCACTGATGTCTCTTCTTTATACAGTAGTGCTACAGAGAGGCTTTGAATTCTATATTATTCTCGTCACTTTCATTGCTAGCTAATCTCAGCTTTTCCATGGTTCTTCATATATTTCTGAATGAATTCTGGTGGGTAGTTAGTTAGTTATTCACTAGTAATACTTCCCTTATTGATTTGATTTCGTCATTTAAATCTTCTGGCGTACTAGTTAGGCTGTTGGTCCGATTTATGATATAGACTTTTAACTAAACCCATCTTTACCACCGATTCTGGATGGGATGAATTAAACTGTAAGTACTTTGCATTAGAGTGTGTCGGTTTCCTTCCTATAAATGCTAGTCTGTATCTAACCACCCCCAACCCATCTTTTTTCGTTTTATTCTACAGTCTAGTCTAGCATGACCGACTCACCTTGTTCGTTTTCTAACTTTATATGTGTAAAAAACTGAGCGGTATGTTCAGATTTCAACACAATGATGGAATGTGCCATCCACCATAACCTACGAGCAGCAGGATTATACGTTCTAAGAGCCTTATGTTCCCAACTATTCATAAATATATCTGCTCCTATTGGGGATCCCATTGTCACCTCATTTCCTTGTTTATAAAGTTTAATTTTTATTTATTTATTTATTTGAACGCAGAAAAAACTTGGTACAAATATGGAACCAAGAAAGATGCGCCACACAATTTTATTTCATTTTTTGTGTGAAGGCTGAGATACTGACCGGGCGCCCAGACTGAAGGTGGTTTTATTAAGGGACCACCCCACCCCGGAGCCTTTGACTTGGAGTATAATCCTCAAGGAAGCGGAGCAGCGTCAGGAGCTGCATTCCCATGGTTTCCGGTGACCCATATGGGTTCATACGCCATTTGATCCGATTGTATTCTGGAGTCCATGTATCCCATGATAACTTCTTTTAGTTTAACCGCTATCCAAACAACCTTCCTGACATGGTAGAGCCTGTAGGGACATGAGCTCCAGCCAGTCCAGCTTGTTGGGACATTACGGTATTCAAGCCCGACCACCACGACAAGGTGGTAGCAGTTGTCGGCGAGTGTCCTAACCGCTATGCCACCGACGCACCTTCTCACGTAGTTATATATATATGACCAGTAGGGTAGAGCAGGTTGAAGATGAGGCAGTAACTCATCGAAGAAGACATTGCGAAATCGTCGCCCTATGTCATGAATTCGCAGAAGTTAGAATTCATGGGCTGGCCATTAAATCGGGTCCCAGTGGCTCAATGGTCTATGAGCTAGCTCATCTTGTAACCAGAAGGTCCTAGGTTCGAACCCAGGTGGTGGTGGGTGCGTACTGCTGGAGAGTCCCAAACTAGGACGGTGGAAACAGCTGTCCAGTTTTCTGACTGATATCAAGCCCATGATGAAATCCTCCATCCAATCAAATAAAATCCCTACAAAATACCAATACTTGCACAGCTAATTGTGAATGAATTCGCCGTCGAAAAGATACTCTTCACTGAACCACGTGTTTTGTTTTCACTAACGTCTAGATGGGGACGGGGGGGCGTGAGATTATTCATGTTAACAGTTTGTTATCCTGCAAAATCTCTGTCTGTCTGGATTCAACATAGAACTTGGCACCGAAGTGCAGCAGTTCGAGTTGCCACGTTCCAATTGGCACACAAGGTAGACAAGAAGATGAGTGAAGAGAATCAATAGAGTTTGACAAATATAAGAGTGAAACAGAATGGGTAATTGTAGAAAGGAATATGAAAGATTACAGAGACTGAATACATCTGCGCCATTGACAACGATTTTGAGCCATGTCACCTACTGTCTCCAGCCATTGATTCCTAGAGTCCCGAGGGCCCCAACCCGGGAGTCTGCATCTCCCTACCTGACTCAGTTTAACTGTCAAGGATTTCATGGATTGATGAGGCCATGTTTTTGTTTGGCCATCACTGGCTCTTTTCCAACCTGAACCTATATCAGCTAGCAAAGCTCGTCGGGGGAGGCGGTGGTTAGGCATGCGCAGCACGTGACCTAGCCATCTTAGTCTATGTAACTTTATAGCCTCGTCGATTGATTTTCCCTCTTTGCCCAACACTCTACGCCTAACGTCAACATTACTTATCTTGTGAAACCACCTAACGTGAGACAGAGATCGCAGACATCTATGATCGAAAGCAGTCAACCTTTTCATGTCTTCAACGCGTATTGGCCATGTTTCAGAGCCATAGAGAAGGACGGAGCGAACTGATGAGCAGTACACACGTCCCTTGGTTGATAACCGGATGTCACGCCTACGCCAGAGATGGTGTAAGTCAGCGAAAGCAGCCCGAGCTTTTCGGATCCGTGCTGAGATTTCATCGCCAATCAGTCCGTTGGTGCTGATACAACTTCCTAAATAGATGAAGTGGTCAACATGCTCTATCACTTCAATCCCTATCACTAAGCTAGGAGTTGACGTAGTCCAGTCTTGTAGCAGCATCTTACATTTTGTAGGGGCGAATCGCATGCCAAACATACGAAGATTGCTGCTCAAAGTGTTCAGGAGACTCTGCCTCATTTTGTCAGCATCCTCCCCTAACAGGACTATGTCATCTGCATATTCTAAGTCCATTAGATTATTCCCCGGTAACAAGTCGATTCCTAAGTCACTACGTTCAGCTGAGGATACTTCCATTAGCATTTCTATGATGAAGTTAAACAGAAATGGGGAAAGTGGACATCCCTGTCGGACACCACTGGTTGTTACCAATTCAGATGACAATTCCTGCAAAATACTACACGCCCACTACACACACATGCCCTCTTCCCTACTACGGTCTACAGTGGAAGCAAAAAAAAAAAACAAATGACTGATAGATATTGTGAGAATCCTTAAATGCTAACATTGTATTCCAAAAATTTTTCTTAGACTAGACAAAATGCACAAATGCGTGTATGTCTGTATGCGTAAGATAAAATGCAAAATCAGAAGGGTGTACATAATAACTTTGAATAACAAAAACGGTGACAGCAGAAAGAGAGAGAAAAAAAGACGGGGATGGAAAAATAAACAAAACGCTTATGAAAAATATCTTTAAAAAGGCCTACGTCTAATGAATGCCAATCGCATCATATCATTTTCCAGCTTCATTTGTACTAACAGCTCATTCATTTGATCAAGTTTACATTCAAGTTGAGCAAATTTGTAAAGTAATTCATTATGAGACCAGTTTAATTCAGACATCATAGATGATAAGCGACTATGAATACACTTACTTAATGCTTCAATTGGTATATGTGGTGAATGCGCAGTATCTTCTAGTTTCTCTGTATCAACGGTACTAGAATGACGACTAGACGTATCTGTCGGCATCGGCGGAAAACTTTTATTATCTTTTAATATTGAATCATACGGATGACTTGTAAGCGATTTCAATGATGATGATGATGCTAATGACTTCTGGTTTATGCTATCAACAGTCACTGCTTCAGATGTACCACTGCTTATCAGTAAACTTTGATCTAACAATGATCGATTTGAACTAATAATACTGGTGAGTGATTCTGATTCTGGTTGATCGAATTCATGCAGCATTACTGCCCATCTTGTTTGTGATTTAGGCTGTTCCGTTTTCCCGTTGTTTCTGTTGTTATTGTTGCCATTGTGATAGTTAATTCGCTTAAAGCTTGACGAATTTGACTATTATTACATGTTAGATGAGTACTACTCATTGCTTTACTGTAAGAACTTTCATCAGTTATTTGAGAAGTTGATAAATTGCATAACGCCGCCTCCTTTGAGGTAGTAATAATATGACCAGTTGTTGTAGTAGTAGTAGTATTAAAGTCTACATCGTTTAGATCAACTCGTAAAGCGGATGAAAATGAAAGTAGACGAATAGAATTATTCCCTAATCCAATAGAGACACAATGAATTGGTGTAGACATATTCTGCACATTATATAACCATACTTCACCATTTACTAAACCAGTTGCAAGAATATGCCTTCTTGGAGCTACATCAATACTTAGATAACCGTGTTGTTCATCCACTGGTGATAAACATTCGACAGGTTTTTGTTGTTGTTGTTGTTGTTTCTGTTGACCTGATGTCGACAGTATATCCCATACACGTAGATTTAAATCTGGTAATCCTGCACTATACAATAATTGATCAGTATTCGATGAAAATGCAATGCTTATACAATGTTTATAACTTTCTTTTAATATACTGATTTCATTCATACTTGTACCAAAAGATTTAACATCCCAATAATTTAAAATATAATCGTTTGTATCACCAGTAACTGGCCATTGTATATTCCATAAGATTATAGAACCATTAGAATAACCACAGCATAAAAGATTACTATTAAATTTAGAAGTTTTTAACATACAACATTCAGGTAGGGAAGCATCACAACCTCTGACCTTTGAATATTGACAAGGGAATGGTAATACAACAAAGTTTTCACATCGACCATTGGTACTAATTTTATCCGAAGCTGCTAAGAATAATACAATAGAGCCATTATTATATCCAGCAGCAATAATACGATCATTTAACACCCAACTAATACACTCTGGTTGTAATTCATTAGGTAATATATTAAATGGATGTAGATTAGTATAGCGTAATTGACAACGTAGTGTTATTTGCTTATTTCCACAATTATAAACATTTATCAAACCAGTATTAATGCCAACAGCTAGATATCTGCCTGAACTTCTAGGAAAACCGATACACGTGGCTGTACAATTTTCAGATTGTAAACTCAACGTCAGTATATCAGAAGTTGTATTTGCATAGTCATGATTTTTGCTAAACAATAATTGTTGAAGGTAAACAGATCCACCAGATTTATCAATAACAGCTAGCTTAAATGATCGAGGATTCCACTGGATTGATTGAATCGGATTGGATGATATTGGTTGAGGTTTGTATGTCGACAGATTAGAAGCAGAAAATTCTTGATTACTACTAGTAGGCAAAGAATTTACGAATGAAGATTTGCCTTGAGGTAGAAACCAAAAGTGAAGTGAAGAGTCTTGTACTACAGCAAGACATGAAAGGTGGTCATTTGTAAATGAATCCCTAAAGGAAGTAATAAAGGATAGAAATTATTTAAGAAAATGCAACAAAGATGGAGCTGATTCCATCTTCTCTATGTTCACTTAGAGTTGTGTTTTTGTTGTCAGCCTACCTCTTCAGCCGGTTTGTTAGTATTTTAAGATTTTTGTTTTTTATATCAAGATTCGAAGATACTTTTGCACATTTATACACTTAATGCACTTAATCAGAATTTAGTAGAACTATTGATTTAACGTGTTCATTATCAGTAATTTGAGTATTGTTTTTTAAAAAATATTTTCTATCCTTTATTACTTCCTTTAGGGATTCATTTACAAATGACCACCTTTCATGTCTTGCTGTAGTAGAAGACTCTTCAGTTCACTTTTGGTTTCTACCTCAAGGCAAATCTTCATTCGTAAATTCTTTGCCTACTAGTAGTAATCAAGAATTTTCTGCTTCTAATCTGTCGACATACAAACCTCAACCAATATCATCCAATCCGATTCAATCAATCCAGTGGAATCCTCGTTCATTTAAGCTAGCTGTTATTGATAAATCTGGTGGATCTGTTTACCTTCAACAATTATTGTTTAGCAAAAATCATGACTATGCAAATACAACTTCTGATATACTGACGTTGAGTTTACAATCTGAAAATTGTACAGCCACGTGTATCGGTTTTCCTAGAAGTTCAGGCAGATATCTAGCTGTTGGCATTAATACTGGTTTGATAAATGTTTATAATTGTGGAAATAAGCAAATAACACTACGTTGTCAATTACGCTATACTAATCTACATCCATTTAATATATTACCTAATGAATTACAACCAGAGTGTATTAGTTGGGTGTTAAATGATCGTATTATTGCTGCTGGATATAATAATGGCTCTATTGTATTATTCTTAGCAGCTTCGGATAAAATTAGTACCAATGGTCGATGTGAAAACTTTGTTGTATTACCATTCCCTTGTCAATATTCAAAGGTCAGAGGTTGTGATGCTTCCCTACCTGAATGTTGTATGTTAAAAACTTCTACATTTAATAGTAATCTTTTATGCTGTGGTTATTCTAATGGTTCTATAATCTTATGGAATATACAATGGCCAGTTACTGGTGATACAAACGATTATATTTTAAATTATTGGGATGTTAAATCTTTTGGTACAAGTATGAATGAAATCAGTATATTAAAAGAAAGTTATAAACATTGTATAAGCATTGCATTTTCATCGAATACTGATCAATTATTGTATAGTGCAGGATTACCAGATTTAAATCTACGTGTATGGGATATACTGTCGACATCAGGTCAACAGAAACAACAACAACAACAACAAAAACCTGTCGAATGTTTATCACCAGTGGATGAACAACACGGTTATCTAAGTATTGATGTAGCTCCAAGAAGGCATATTCTTGCAACTGGTTTAGTAAATGGTGAAGTATGGTTATATAATGTGCAGAATATGTCTACACCAATTCATTGTGTCTCTATTGGATTAGGGAATAATTCTATTCGTCTACTTTCATTTTCATCCGCTTTACGAGTTGATCTAAACGATGTAGACTTTAATACTACTACTACTACAACAACTGGTCATATTATTACTACCTCAAAGGAGGCGGCGTTATGCAATTTATCAACTTCTCAAATAACTGATGAAAGTTCTTACAGTAAAGCAATGAGTAGTACTCATCTAACATGTAATAATAGTCAAATTCGTCAAGCTTTAAGCGAATTAACTATCACAATGGCAACAATAACAACAGAAACAACGGGAAAACGGAACAGCCTAAATCACAAACAAGATGGGCAGTAATGCTGCATGAATTCGATCAACCAGAATCAGAATCACTCACCAGTATTATTAGTTCAAATCGATCATTGTTAGATCAAAGTTTACTGATAAGCAGTGGTACATCTGAAGCAGTGACTGTTGATAGCATAAACCAGAAGTCATTAGCATCATCATCATCATTGAAATCGCTTACAAGTCATCCGTATGATTCAATATTAAAAGATAATAAAAGTTTTCCGCCGATGCCGACAGATACGTCTAGTCGTCATTCTAGTACCGTTGATACAGAGAAACTAGAAGATACTGCGCATTCACCACATATACCAATTGAAGCATTAAGTAAGTGTATTCATAGTCGCTTATCATCTATGATGTCTGAATTAAACTGGTCTCATAATGAATTACTTTGCAAATTTGCTCAACTTGAATGTAAACTTGATCAAGCGAATAAACTGTTAGTACAAATGAAGCTGGAAAATGATATGATGCGATTGGCACTCATTACACGTAGGCCTTTTTAAAGATATTTTTCATAAGCGTTTTGTTTATTTATCCACCCCCCGTCTTTCTTTCTCTCTCTTTCTGCTGTCACCGTTTTTGTTATTCAAAGTTATTATGTACACCCTTCTGATTATGCATTTTATCTTACGCATACAGACATACACGCATTTGTGCATTTTGTCTAGTCTAAGAAAAATTTTTGGAATACAATGTTAGCATTTAAGGATTCTCACAATATCTATGAGTCATTTGTTTTGTTTTTTTTGCTTCCACTGTAGACCGTAGTAGGGAAGAGAGCATGTGTGTGTAGTGGGCGTGTAGTATTTTGCAGGATAACAAACTGTTAACATGAATAATCCCACGCCCCCCCCTCCCCATCTAGACGTTAGTGAAAACAAAACACGTGGTTCAGTGAAGAGTATCTTTTCGACGGCGAATTCATTCACAATTAGCTGTGCAAGTATTGGTACTTTGTAGGGATTTTATTTGATTGGATGGAGGATTTCATCATGGGCTTGATATCAGTCAGAAAACTGGACAGCTGTTTCCACCGTCCTAGTTTGGAACTCTCCAGCAGTACGCACCCACCACCACCTGGGTTCGAACCTAGGACCTTCTGGTTACAAGATGAGCTAGCTCATAGACCATTGAGCCTATGAATTCTAACTTCTGCCAATTCATGACATAGGGCGACGATTTCGCAATGTCTTCTTCGATGAGTTACTGCCTCATCTTCAACCTGCTCTACCCTACTGGTCATATATATATAACTAGGTGAGAGAGTGGGTAGAGTGGGTTGAAAATGTGTTGTCAAAAAAACATTTATTAACTTATCAAGGAAGTTGAATAAGCTTGATACAGTTACATAATAAGGTGGACTAGAGGAAATTCAATTAGAAAAAGACGAAAAAAAAATTATTAGTTTTCACATAACCAGTCTATATATTCTAATATTCCCCCAATTGAGTACAACTCTGGAGGCAGTTAGTAATGAAATGAACATTGATCCTGAACTCAGAAGTAGGACTAAGCTCTTCTGTCGGTTGATGAAATCACATCTAATAGAATCCGGACACCAATCTACACCTCAAACAAACTTCAAAGTCGTTAACAGATTAAGAAGTAGTCTTCCTAAAGGTGTACGAATCAGACTTCTTCAAACTGCAGAAGCAATGGCGATTCACTTGCTAAGTCCTGAACTCCGCATACATAAGAAGTTCCTTCAATCACTACACTTGCAATGGACTTAATCTATCTTATTACCCAAAAAGTAAATTCTACCTAATCCTTTTTTCTCTCAGTCTTCATTAGTATTATTCTGCCTTCTCAATTGTAATATCTTGCATTTTCAACTTCCCTGTTCTCTACCCCCACCCGATTTAATTTCTACACCTCACTACCACTGTTACTGACTTGACCAACGCTCAATTTCTAGTCATTTATGTCACGCCATCCAACTTAATTGCTCAATTTCAGTTCTAATTTAAATAGCACTGTTCTCTACCACACTTCTACTTAGTCTCTACCTGTAATAACCTCTGTTGCTACCCTGACCTAAGTTGAAACGTTTTTAGTCAATTATATTACGTCATCTAACTTACTAACTAACTCAATCTTACTTTAGTTGCTGTCTAATTAACCTTGTTTCTATATTGGATCATTCTTGTATTACCTGATCAATTATCTAAACTTGACAAACCTCATGAACACACACAAATAATTATGTGCAAATGTGCTGCACATCTATGTGAATGAATTCGCCGAAAAGAGTCTTCGCTTTTCAAATTACAGGTCTAGCAAAATTTTCATGCTCCCATTATCTAGTTGACCCGGATCGAATAGTTTGACCGACATAAATAACCCCACTAACAGTCATTACATGCATGGTATTTGGTAAATTATATTACTTTCCTTAATTGGATTTATTTGGTCCTTAAGCCAGCAAAGTTTATCTCTGCGATAGTCGGCTGTTTGGTTTATATGCCACCCTAATTCCAGCGTCACTGAGAATTCTACGTAAGGTCTCTGATGTCTCTTCTTTATACAGTAGTGCTACAGAGAGGCTTTGAATTCTATATTATTTCCGTCACTTTCATTGCTAGCTAATCTCAGCTTTTCCATGGTTCTTCATATATTTCTGAATGAATTCTGGTGGGTAGTTAGTTAGTTATTCACTAGTAATACTTCCCTTATTGATTTGATTTCGTCATTTAAATCTTCTGGCGTACTAGTTAGGCTGTTGGTCCGATTTATGATATAGACTTTTAACTAAACCCATCTTTACCACCGATTCTGGATGGGATGAATTAAACTCTAAGTACTTTGCATTAGAGTGTGTCGGTTTCCTTCCTATAAATGCTAGCCTGTATCTAACCACCCCCAACCCATCTTTTTTCGTTTTATTCTACAGTCTAGTCTCGTATGACCAACTCACCTTGTTCGTTTTCTAACTTTATATGTGTAAAAAACTGAGCGGTATGTTCATATTTCAACACAGTGATGGAATGTGCCATCCACCATAACTAACGAGCAGCAGGATTATACGTTCTAATAGCCTTATGTTCCCAACTATTCATAAATATATCTGCTCCTATTGGGGATCCCATTGTCACCTCAATTCCTCGTTTATCAAGTTTATTTTTTATTTATTTAAACGCAGAAAAAACTTGGTACAAATATGGAACCAAGAAAGATGCGCCACACAATTTTATTTCATTTTTTGTGTGAAGATTGAAAAACTGACCGAGCGCCCAGATTGAAGAAGGTCTGTCTGTCTGTCTGTTTTCGACATAGAACTTTGCACAAATGTGCGGAAGTTCAAGTCGCCACATTCCGTGTAGCACGCGAAGCAAGAGAGGGAAGTACAAGAAAAGCATAATAGAAACAGTGAGCAGAGGTGTGAGACAAAGGAGTAATAAAGAAATACAAAACAGTTTCATTGAAGATCATAAGTCACAGGGAGTGGATGCATCTGCGCCACTGAGAACGATTTTGAGCCATGTCACCAATTGTTCCCAACCATAGATTTTTACCGTCCCGAGGACCCCAGCCTGGAAGTCTACACCTTCCTACGTGGCTAAGACCAACTGTTGTGGATTTCATTGACTGATGCCAAGTTTTTGTTTGACCGCCGCTAGCTTTTGAAGAAGGTGGTTTTATTAAGGGACCACCCCACCCCGGAGCCTTTGACTTGGAGTATAATCCTCAAGGAAGCGCAACAGCGTCAGGAGCTGCATTCCCATGGTTTCCGGTGACCCATATGGGTTCATACGCCATTTGATCCGATTGGATTCTGGAGTCCATGTACCCCATGATAACTGCTTTTAGTTTAACCGCTATCCAAACAACCTTCCTGACATGGTAGAACCTGCAGGAACATGAGCTCCAGCCATTTCAGCTTGTTGGGACATGACGGTATTCAAGCCCGACCACCACGACAAGGTGGTAGCAGTTGTCGGCCGGGATAGTTTATTTGGGAATTTGAATAAAGTCGAGGTTAGACAACATAACTGAACACCTAATGTGATTTCATCAACCGACAGAAGAGCTTAGTCCTACTTCTGAGTTCAGGATCAATGTTCATTTCATTACTAACTGCCTCCAGAGTTGTACTCAATTGGGGGAATATTAGAATATATAGACTGGTTATGTGAAAACTAATAATTTTTTTTCGTCTTTTTCTAATTGAATTTCCTCTAGTCCACCTTATTATGTAACTGTGTCAAGCTTATTCAACTTCCTTGATAAGTTAATAAATGTTTTTTTGACAACACATTTTCAACCCACTCTACCCACTCTCTCACCTAGTTATATATATATATGACCAGTAGGGTAGAGCAGGTTGAAGATGAGGCAGTAACTCATCGAAGAAGACATTGCGAAATCGTCGCCCTATGTCATGAATTGGCAGAAGTTAGAATTCATAGGCTCAATGGTCTATGAGCTAGCTCATCTTGTAACCAGAAGGTCCTAGGTTCGAACCCAGGTGGTGGTGGGTGCGTACTGCTGGAGAGTTCCAAACTAGGACGGTGGAAACAGCTGTCCAGTTTTCTGACTGATATCAAGCCCATGATGAAATCCTCCATCCAATCAAATAAAATCCCTACAAAGTACCAATACTTGCACAGCTAATTGTGAATGAATTCGCCGTCGAAAAGATACTCTTCACTGAACCACGTGTTTTGTTTTCACTAACGTCTAGATGGGGAGGGGGGGGCGTGGGATTATTCATGTTAACAGTTTGTTATCCTGCAAAATACTACACGCCCACTACACACACATGCTCTCTCCCCTACTACGGTCTACAGTGGAAGCAAAAAAAACAAAACAAATGACTCATAGATATTGTGAGAATCCTTAAATGCTAACATTGTATTCCAAAAATTTTTCTTAGACTAGACAAAATGCACAAATGCGTGTATGTCTGTATGCGTAAGATAAAATGCAAAATCAGAAGGGTGTACATAATAACTTTGAATAACAAAAACGGTGACAGCAGAAAGAGAGAGAAAAAAAGACGGGGGTGGAAAAATAAACAAAACGCTTATGAAAAATATCTTTAAAAAGGCCTACGTGTAATGAGTGCCAATCGCATCATATCATTTTCCAGCTTCATTTGTACTAACAGTTTATTCGCTTGATCAAGTTTACATTCAAGTTGAGCAAATTTGCAAAGTAATTCATTATGAGACCAGTTTAATTCAGACATCATAGATGCCTCCAAAGCCTCAGGATGGTCGGGGGTGGGTGTCTTGCGCTGCGGGCTAGCCACCCCTCCGTACACCTCTTGAAATGCTCCCATATGACCGTGCGTCTTACATAGCCTCTCCTGAGGAAGTCCTACTCACTGCCTTCACGTGGCGGAGGTGTTTCTCACCGAAGTGAGAGGGCAAAAGCGGATGCCCGGCGCTCTTCACCGGGTTGACTGTCCATTGGATGACAGTCTAGGGGAGATGGCTAAACCCTGATTCCAAACCTCCAACGACTGGCGTATGAAGCTCACCGGAGTTCACCGGCAGACGTATGGACAAAGAGCTTATTGGATGCCCTGGATGTCTGGCCCCATTCAAAAAGGCGTATGAACCGGACTCCGGTCACCGGCTGCCAATGGATAGTGGACTCCCTACTCCACTCCTACTGCCTTGTAGGTCACACTTGGCTGTGTAAAGGCTAGAGCTGCACTCTCAAACAAAAGGCCGAGCGATGCTGGGGACATCACTCGTACCCAATTCCCATGAAACTTCATCAACTCTCTTACAAACATTCGAGATGTTCATGAAGCCGGTTCATCCTCCCGTAGGAGATAGCCGAAGTAAAGTAAGTAAGTATCATAGATGATAAGCGACTATGAATACACTTACTTAATGCTTCAATTGGTATATGTGGTGAATGCGCAGTTGTATGCGCAGTATCTTCTAGTTTCTCTGTATCAACGGTATTAGAATGACGACTAGACGTATCTGTCGGCATCGGCGGAAAACTTTTATTATCTTTTAATATTGAATCATACGGATGACTTGTAAGCGATTTCAATGATGATGATGATGCTAATGACTTCTGGTTTATGCTATCAACAGTCACTGCTTCAGATGTACCACTGCTTATCAGAAAACTTTGATCTAACAATCATCGATTTGAACTAATAATACCGGTGAGTGATTCTGATTCTGGTTGATCGAATTCATGCAGCATTACTGCCCATCTTGTTTGTGATTTAGGCTGTTCTGCTTCTCTCGTTGTTTCTGTTGTTATTGTTGCCATTGTATTAGTTAATTCGCTTAAAGCTTGACGAATTTGACTATTATTACATGTTAGATGAGTACTATTCATTGCTTTACTGTAAGAATTTTCATCAGTTATTTGAGAAGTTGATAAATTGCATAACGCCGCCTCCTTTGAGGTAGTATTAATATGACTAGTTGTAGTAGTAGTAGTAGTAGTAGTAGTAGTATTAAAGTCTACATCGTTTAGATCAACTCGTAAAGCGGATGAAAATGAAAGTAGACGAATAGAATTATTCCCTGATCCAATAGAGACACAGTGAATTGGTGTAGACATATTCTGCACATTATATAACCATACTTCACCATTTACTAAACCAGTTGCAAGAATATGCCTTCTTGGAGCTACATCAATACTTAGATAACCGTGTTGTTCATCCACTGGTGATAAACATTTGACAGGTTTTTGTTGTTGTTGTTGCTTCTGTTGACCTGATGTCGACAGTATATCCCATACACGTAGATTTAAATCTGGTAATCCTGCACTATACAATAATTGATCAGTATTCGATGAAAATGCAATACTTATACAATGTTTATAACTTTCTTTTAATATACTGATTTCATTCATACTTGTACCAAAAGATTTAACATCCCAATAATTTAAAATATAATCGTTTGTATCACCAATAACTGGCCATTGTACATTCCATAAGATTATAGAACCATTAGAATAACCACAGCATAAAAGATTACCATTAAATTTAGAAGTTTTTAACATACAACATTCAGGTAGGGAAGCATCACAACCTCTGACCTTTGAATATTGACAAGGGAATGGTAATACAACAAAGTTTTCACATCGACTATTGGTACTAATTTTATCCGAAGCTGCTAAGAATAATACAATAGAGCCATTATTATATCCACCAGCAATAATACGATCATTTAACACCCAACTAATACACTTTGGTTGTAATTCATTAGGTAATATATTAAATGGATGTAGATTAGTACAGCGTAATTGACAACGTAGTGTTATCTGCTCATTTCCACAATTATAAACATTTATCAAACCAGTATTAATGCCAACAGCTAGATATCTGCCTGAACTTCTAGGAAAACCGGTACACGTGGCTGTACAATTTTCAGATTGTTAACTCAACGGCCGGCCGAAAGCTGATACCTTGACGTGGTGGTCGGGCTTGAACACCGCAATGACCTAATCAAGCTATACTGGCTGAGACTTATGTCTCTTGAGGTTCTACCATGCCAGGCAGGTTGTTTGGATAGCGGTTAAACAAAAAGCAGCTACCCAATCCAACATCATGTCCAATACAAAATTACAAAATTTCATGCCGGATCGGCCGTGGCCCGGATTAACAACGACCGCGCTTCCTGCTGCCGTGTCACAGGGCAGGAGTGATAAATCTGCTACTGAGACACACCAAACAAAAAAGAACGAACAAAAACAGGCCGCGTGTGACCGGCCTCAAGCAGTTGTCCCCTGGGCTCTGCGGTCACGCAACCAACTTCCACGGTGTGGGCAGCCGGGAAGTAACAATCGCCCTCACAATCCGAAATGCACACGAAACCTCTCTATTACTCACTCATCTTTGTCTTCATCTTCATCTCTATCATCTTGCCTTCCTTCCACTGATGCAACTCCTCGACTTGATAGCTCTCCACTTCCTCTCCACTCTGCGTCCACTAAAAACGATGGAAGCCAAAAAACCACCACCGACAGCCTCTTAAAGCCGCGCCACCAATTTCATATAGGAGCTCTTAATGTTAGGACACTTTGCCAAATAGGACAACAAGCATCACTAGCCAAGACCCTGGCATCACGAGCCATTGATGTATGCTGTGTTTCAGAAACACGCATACAAGACCCAAGTGTGGTTATTCACCTAACCCCACCTGGCCAACAGGTTGAATCTGCAAAATTCACCTTGAGGGTGTCAGGAGATGCCACAGCTAGTTCACGAGGATTAGCTGGCGTAGGGATAGCTTTGAGTACTAGGGCAGAAAAGACATTGCTTGACTGGATCCCGGTAGATAGCCGAATGTGTGCTGTCCGCCTGAACGGATCAGTAAGAAGGAGGAAGGACTGCACTACTCGCCGATGCCTTTTCGTAATCTCCGCCTACGCCCCCACTGACTGCAGTTCAGATGAAACGAAGGATGAGTTCTACCAAAAGCTGTCTAGTTTGGTGAGAAAGGCTAAACGCTCAGACATAGTCGTTCTAGCTGGTGACTTTAACGCTCAAGTAGGGAAATTGTGTCAATCTGAGAAGGATGTCGGTGGCACCTATGGAGTTCCGTGCCAGCGAACCGACAACGGTGACCGTCTCCTACAGTTCTGCTCTGATAATCATTTGTTTCTTGTAAGCACTAACTTTAAACACAAGGAGAGACACTGTTTGACTTGGAGACCCCCTTCATCAAACCAACGCTGGACACAAATAGACCACATAGCAATAAGCTATCGTTGGCGTGGGTCGGTAGGAGATTGTCGCTCCTTCTGGAACACGTGCGTAGATACCGACCATGCACTGGTCCGCGCTCGGGTGTGCTTACGACTGAACGGACGTAGGAAACAGCTGGCGGTAAAACCATCACGTCCCCAGCTCGATCAGGAAACTAAATCCGTATTTCAGGAAGAACTAGCTAAACACATATCTGTGTTCGACAGCTGTGCTCACCCTGAAGAAGCTTGGAAAAATATCCAGGCAGCCATAGATACAGCTGTAAAAGCTGTGAATAAGGTAAACCCAAAGGTGAGTAAAAACCACTGGATCTCCACCGCCTCATCCGAACTGATAGATGCTAGAAGACTTATTCCGGCGAGCTCCGAATTCAATGAGGAGCGAAAGCTGCACAAGAGGAAACTTACGAAAAGTCTCCGCAAGGACCGTGAACAGTGGTGGGCGACAAAAGCCAAAGAGATGGAGAAAGCTTTGAGGATAGGCAACACCAGGCAACTCTTTGGACTCATCAGGGAAACGGGTGGGAGAAGACAAATCATTAGTGAGACAATCTCGGAAAAAAATGGCACTATAATTAGCTCACAGGATAGACGACTGGATCGTTGGAAAGAGCATTATGAGGAGCAGTTTAATTTGCCCACAGCCACGCTCAACCTTCCGAGCATCCAACACCTCCCTGAATGGGATATAAACACAGGTCCTCCGTCACTAACTGAGGTTACTAAAGCTGTCACCAATCTGAAACTAGGCAAAGCAGCGGGACCTGATGGAATGACTCCAGAGGTATTTAAGTACGGTGGAGACAGCTTACTGTCCGGATTAACTGAGGTACTAGGCAGCGTCTGGGAATCAGAAGAAGTCCCATCGGGTTGGTGTAAGTCACTGATTATCCCCATATACAAGAAGGGAGACAAGTCTTCCTGTGATAATCACAGAGGGATTAGCTTGACTAATATAGTATCTAAAGTCTTAGGCTCAATAATCATGCGTAGACTGAGTGGTGCTCGGGAAGCACAAACACGAGAGAGCCAGGCAGGCTTTAGACCAGGAAGAGGGTGTATTGATCATATCTTCACCCTCCGACAGATTCTAGAACATAGGCATTCCTACCGGCGTCCAACAGTCATTATATTTCTTGACCTAAAGGCAGCATTCGACTCTGTCGATCGGGAAGTTCTCTGGAGATGCTTGGCTGTAAAGGGAATTCCAAGAAAATATATTGCACTGATTAAGGCACTCTACTCGTACTCATACAGCCAGGTGAGGGCTTACGGCGAGCTGTCATCTGAACTGATGACGACCAGTGGTGTCCGTCAAGGATGCCCATTATCTCCTTTTCTATTCAACTTCATCATAGATGTGTTAATGGACTTAACCCTAGGTGACTTCAGCGACTCAGGGATTGACTTGCTACCGGGAATAATCTCGTTGACTTGGAATATGCAGACGATATAGTCCTTCTAGGCGAAGACGCTGACGAAATGCAGAGTCTTCTAAACACCTTGAGCCGCAATCTACGAATGTTTGGCATGCGATTCGCTCCCGCCAAATGCAAGATGATGTTACAGGACTGGACTACATCGACGCCTAGTTTAAAAATAGGAAGTGAAGTGGTAGAGCACGTTGACCGCTTCACTTATTTGGGAAGTACCATCAGCCCCAACGGGCTGATCTCTGACGAAATCTCAGCACGAATACAAGGGGCTCGTTTCGCATTTGTTAGTTTACGCCGACTCTGGCGTAGACGAGATGTTCGACTATCGACCAAAGGGCGGGTGTACTGCTCATCAGTCCGCTCCGTCCTCCTTTATGGTTGTGAGACCTGGCCACTGAGAGTGGAAGACATGAAAAGACTAGCTGTCTTTGATCATAGGTGCCTGCGTTCTATTTCCCGTGTAAAGTGGCATAATAAGGTGAGCAACATGGAGGTTAGGCGTAGAGTTCTAGGTAAACAGGGGAAATCAATCGACGAAGTCGTGAAGCTACAAAGACTGAGATGGTTAGGACATGTGTTACGTATGCCAAGCCATCGCCTCCCTCGACGAGCAATGTTAGCGGATATAGGGTCAGGCTGGAAAAAAGCTAGCGGCGGTCAAACAAAAACTTGGCATCAGTCAATGAAATCCACAACAGTTGGTCTAAGCCACGTAGGAAGGTGTAGACTTCCAGGCTGGGGTCCTCGGGACGGTAAAAATCTATGGTTGGAAACAATTGGTGACATGGCTCAAAATCGTTCTCAGTGGCGCAGATGCATCCACTCCCTGTGACTTATGATCTTCAATGAAACTGTTTTGTATTTCTTTATTACTCCTTTGTCTCACACCTCTGCTCACTGTTTCTATTATGCTTTTCTTGTACTTTCTTCTCTTGCTTCGCGTGCTACACGGAATGTGGCGACTTGAACTTCCGCACATTTGTGCAAAGTTCTATGTCGACAACAGACAGACAGACAACGTCAGTATATCAGAAGTTGTCTTTGCATAGTCATGATTTTTGCTAAACAATAATTGTTGAAGGTAAACAGATCCACCAGATTTATCAATAACAGCTAGCTTAAATGAACGAGGATTCCACTGGATTGATTGAATCGGATTGGATGATATTGGTTGAGGTTTGTATGTCGACAGATTAGAAGCAGAAAATTCTTGATTACTACTAGTAGGCAAAGAATTTACGAATGAAGATTTGCCTTGAGGTAGAAACCAAAAGTGAACTGAAGAGTCTTGTACTACAGCAAGACATGAAAGGTGGTCATTTGTAAATGAATCCCTAAAGGAAGTAATAGAGGATAGAAAATATTTAAAAAAATGCAACAAAGATGGAGCTGATGCCATCTTCTCAATGTTCACTTAGAGTTTTGTTTTTGTTTCAGCCTACCTCTTCAGCCGGTTTGTTGGTATTTTAAGATTTTTGTTTTTTATATCAAGATTCGAAGATACTTTTGCACACTTATACACTTAATGCACTTAATCAGAATTTAGTAGAACTATTGATTTAACGTGTTCATTATCAGTAATTTGAGTATTGTTTTTTTAAAAAATATTTTCTATCCTTTATTACTTCCTTTAGGGATTCATTTACAAATGACCACCTTTCATGTCTTGCTGTAGTAGAAGACTCTTCAGTTCACTTTTGGTTTCTACCTCAAGGCAAATCTTCATTCGTAAATTCTTTGCCTACTAGTAGTAATCAAGAATTTTCTGCTTCTAATCTGTCGACATACAAACCTCAACCAATATCATCCAATCCGATTCAATCAATCCAGTGGAATCCTCGTTCATTTAAGCTAGCTGTTATTGATAAATCTGGTGGATCTGTTTACCTTCAACAATTATTGTTTAGCAAAAATCATGACTATGCAAAGACAACTTCTGATATACTGACGTTGAGTTTACAATCTGAAAATTGTACAGCCACGTGTATCGGTTTTCCTAGAAGTTCAGGCAGATATCTAGCTGTTGGCATTAATACTGGTTTGATAAATGTTTATAATTGTGGAAATAAGCAAATAACACTACGTTGTCAATTACGCTATACTAATCTACATCCATTTAATATATTACCTAATGAATTACAACCAAAGTGTATTAGTTGGGTGTTAAATGATCGTATTATTGCTGGTGGATATAATAATGGCTCTATTGTATTATTCTTAGCAGCTTCGGATAAAATTAGTACCAATAGTCGATGTGAAAACTTTGTTGTATTACCATTCCCTTGTCAATATTCAAAGGTCAGAGGTTGTGATGCTTCCCTACCTGAATGTTGTATGTTAAAAACTTCTACATTTAATAGTAATCTTTTATGCTGTGGTTATTCTAATGGTTCTATAATCTTATGGAATATACAATGGCCAGTTATTGGTGATACAAACAATTATATTTTAAATTATTGGGATGTTAAATCTTTTGGTACAAGTATGAATGAAATCAGTATATTAAAAGAAAGTTATAAACATTGTATAAGCATTGCATTTTCATCGAATACTGATCAATTATTGTATAGTGCAGGATTACCAGATTTAAATCTACGTGTATGGGATATACTGTCGACATCAGGTCAACAGAAGCAACAACAACAACAAAAACCTGTCAAATGTTTATCACCAGTGGATGAACAACACGGTTATCTAAGTATTGATGTAGCTCCAAGAAGGCATATTCTTGCAACTGGTTTAGTAAATGGTGAAGTATGGTTATATAATGTGCAGAATATGTCTACACCAATTCACTGTGTCTCTATTGGATCAGGGAATAATTCTATTCGTCTACTTTCATTTTCATCCGCTTTACGAGTTGATCTAAACGATGTAGACTTTAATACTACTACTACTACTACAACTAGTCATATTAATACTACCTCAAAGGAGGCGGCGTTATGCAATTTATCAACTTCTCAAATAACTGATGAAAATTCTTACAGTAAAGCAATGAGTAGTACTCATCTAACATGTAATAATAGTCAAATTCGTCAAGCTTTAAGCGAATTAACTAATACAATGGCAACAATAACAACAGAAACAACGGGAGAAGCAGAACAGCCTAATTCACAAACAAAATAATACTAATGAAGACTGAGACAAAAAAGGATTAGGTTGAATTTACTAGTCGGGTAATAAGATAGATTACGTGGATTGCAAGTGTAGTGATTGAAGGAACTCCTTCTGTATGCGGAGTTCAGGACTTTTTATTTTTGATTTACAGCTTGATTCCACACTGTATTTTTGGTACAAGTATGGAATTGTCAGCATGGATATCGGTAGCCCAAATTTTTCAGGCCTACCATAGGTATCAGATGTGGGTTGGGTGCGGGCTCGAACCCCGGACCATGTGCATGGTCGGCGAGAGTCCTAACCACTGTAAATCGCCATTGCTTCCGCAGTTTGAAGAAGTCTGATTCGTACACCTTTAGGAGGACTACTTCTTACTCTGTAGACGACTTTGAAGTTTGTTTGAGGTGTAGCTTGGTGTCCGGATTCTATTAGATGTTCTAAGATGGAGCTGAGGCGGCATCATTTTTCTCCTTTGTAAAACCATGTTAGTAAGTGTTCGGTGATACGTTTGGAAAGCGAACGCCAGGTACGGCCGACATACCTGGCTCCACACGAGCAGGTGAATTGGTAGATACACATTGATGAGGCCAGCAGTGGTAGCTCATCCTTCACGTTCATACGAATCACTGGTTTCGTGGAGAAGGTTAGTCGTAGTTCAGCAGCGAATAAGGTTTTCTTAAGTAAGCGTGACAGACGATGTTTTGGTGTTTCAGCAGATATATCTCCATTGAAATGAAGGTTCATGTAGAGTAGTTTTCTCGGGACGCTAAGCATGGGCAGCTTTTGTGGTCTAGGATTCATAGCTTTTGCAATAAATCGTTCTGGATAACAATTCTCTACGAGGATTCTCTTGAGATTGTCCAGTTCATCTTCTATAGTGTCCGGGGTGCAAATTCTGCGAACTCTGTAGCTGAGTGAACGGATCAGGTTTCGTTTGGTGTATAGAGGTACCCAATTGTGAAAGTTAGTAAGCTGTCCGTTCCACGTCGACTTTCTGTAGATAGATCTTTTCAGTGTTCCATCCTGTTCTCATCTTGTTAGTTGGACGTCAAGAAAGGATGTTTTGGAGTTGGAGTCTTTCTCCAGTGTGAACTGAATCGCGGGGGGAGGGGAGTTATCAGACGACTTCAAGATGTCGTCTGGATTTTCTTCATTGTTGACGATAATGAGTGTCGTCGACGTAGCTCTTATAGATTTCGAAGGTATCGATCATTTTCTTCAGGCATGTGTTTTCGAGTTTTGCCATGAAGAAATCTGCAAGCAAAGGGCCTAGTGGTGAGCACATAGCTATATCATCCTTTTGGCGATATATTTCGTTATTAAAAGAGAATTGGACATTCAGGGTACACCTCAGTGTGCCTTCTTTAAGACGCTCGGTGGGTATACCGATGTTTATTCCTTTGGAGTGAATAAGTCCGCATACATAGCATATTGTTTCAGTCAGTGGAACGTTTGTGAATAGTGATGTGACATCTAATGAAATCATGGTCTTGTTGGATACGTCGATGTTTTTGATTGAGTTGATAAAGTCGAATGAATTTCGAAATGTGTGGCGGGAAACTCGTCTTCTGATTGGTTCTAGTAGGTCTGCTAACCATTGGGCTGTGCGGTGATAAGGCGAATTGGTCATGTCGAGGATCGGTCGAAGAGGGACACCCTTCTTGTGTACTTTCGAGAGTCCGCAAAGTCGTGGTATATTTGAGCCAGATGGTCTTAGGGATTCGAAGGTTTCGTTGCTGATGAAAGATTCAGTCTTTAGCTAGCGGAAGGTGTCCGTAATATCATAGTCTCTTCGTTTTTCATAAGTTCTTTCAGCTCCTCATAGTGCCACTTCGTCAAAATGGACCTTCCGTTTGGTTTGGTATTTATAAACTTGTGGCAACAGACGAGTGTTGATGTTCTGAGTTGTTGTAGGTTTTCATCTGATGTGGGTGTGAGATCGTAAGTTTAGTTGATTAGATCTTCGAACTGAACCTGGCATTGTAGCTTGTCAATACTTGGTGGTTTTACGCAGAATTTCTGACCTAGAGATATTGCCTCTAGTTGGGTAGTATAGACAGTGTGATGTCTGAAAGATTGAATACGTATTTTTCTGGATTGCTTGGGAACGAAGATTCGGTATTTAATTGTAGGCTTTTGAACAGATCAGCTTTAGTCTTGTTGCATTCTTTCAGTGACATGTTGTACATATTCTTCGAAGGAATGGGTAGTTCTTGATCTAAGTTTTCGACTGCATGAGCTCCTGAGTAGGCATTTCGCTCTAGACCTGGAATAATTGACCCTGCTATGTTTAATGACGTAGAAAAAACAGAGTTCAGCCAATGCACAGCAATCACTTGCATGTTATCACACAAACACACACACAATAAGGTGGGTGGGACAGGGTGAGAGTATTACAAAGTAACACAGTTAGTTGGAGACGGAGATAGGGAGATTAATCACTGGAGCTTTGTTTATCGATTCGACACCACACACGTGTAATCGGAATGACGCAACACCTATGATAGTGGAGATATGGAAAGTATCAACAGACAACAAGGCGAATTTGGAGAGATAGACAGAAAGAAACTATATATAAGACAAATTGTGAGGATGTGTGACTAAATTGATATGATTATGAGTGGCAATAATCTACACTCAAAACCTCGTCGTGCAGTTGTTAATAATACTGCATGATCACTGTAAGATATTTAGAATAAAGATATCTAATATGGAATTACATTCTACCACAGTGGCCAAGTTCTCCATTTACACTAATACGACGAATAGTTTAATGGAGTGAGTTGTGATTAGGATGCACATAGAAACAAAAGAAAATACGAAATTATGTAAGAGTTCTAAAAGTTACAGGATTTCATGATGAGCTTACACGGGTTAGAGAACCATTGGAAAACCGGCAGTGGAGTCCTGGACAGCTGTTTCCTCCGTCCTAGTTTTGGACTCTTCAGGTAGGCAGGTTCTAGTGGGAAGTCGTGACCAGTAAGTAGGGTGTAGCCGGTCGGGTATGAGGATAAATACTCGCCGAAGACATTGGCTAGCGGTTCTGAATCGGCAGAAGTTCAGAAGAGTTCATGCACTGACTGGCCATTGGATTTCTGGGTCTCAGTGAGTAGCCTAATGGTCTACGAGCTAGTTCACCTTGTAACCAGAAGGTCCTGGGTTCTAACCCTGGTGGGTGCACACTGCTGAAGGGTCCCAAACTAGGACGGAGGAAACAGCTGTCTAGTACTCCCAGGCTTTCCACTGGTTCTCTAACCAATGTCAGATCATGATGAAATCCTGTAACCAATCAATCAAACCCCTGCACACCAATCTTTGAGTTCTAAAAGTAACAAGTGTTATAAGGAGTTGGGAAAGAAAAACAAGCAAACAAACATCAAGTTGGTTGAAGTCAACACCGTTGTTACCATGATAGCGGAAGTGGTTGGGTGACTTTCTTTTGTATACATAACTCTGGTTTTTCCAAATGGATGGCTAAAGCTTCAGCATTGGTAGGTTGTATTGCCTTTGGTAGGTTGTTCTTCACTTTGTAGCACGAGACGCTTGTTTTGATGGAATGACCAGTGTTGACGAGATGTTGGATTATCACACCCAGTTACAAGGTCAAAGTCATATACTCATAAGACGAAGATGAACTTAGCACTGTATATGACACCTTAATTGAAGAAAGCTATTCAGAAAACTATCCGGAAGTACATGACCAAGAAAGTAGGAAAGAACTATTCCCTATCTGTAAACAAGAAGCCTTTATATATACGGTTGTAGTTCAATGGTGACGTACAGAGTGAAATAGTTACTAACAAGTTAAAGAAGTTTATTCAAAGAACTTTTAATGCTGGTGAACTAATAATAATAAAAATAATAATAATAATTTACTTTATTCCAAAACAGACAGTACTTATAATACAGAATGGAATTCTCAGCATTTGTCACAATATTGCATCTGATTTACTTAAATTATAACTAAAATTAAAACAGAATTAACCAGAGGAATTTGTCCAAATTTACCATATAAAGTCAAAAATATTCTTAAACGAATTGAGATTACTAAATAATAATAATAATAACAACAGTGAGTTTGTTTCAAACAGTATTGTCGAATCATTTTGAAAATTTTAGCATGTTACTATGGAGTATTGAATCTAATGTTCTGTTGATGTAGTATAATGAGGGGAAATACAAGATTAACAGTGGTAACACAGCTTAAATGATGTTCACACTTATGAAAAATAAATAAAAACATCGAGGGATTATAAATATGAGAAATACAATAACAATAAAGTTTGGTACTGTAAGGGTGGAAGAAATGGTTCATTTGGTAGTGCGAAAAAGGTTACTTAGCTAGTTCATGCCTGACACCATTTTCATCACATAAAGTACGTGGTGTGAAATATGGTATAGTGGAATTTTTATACTTAGACATACGTGCGTAAATGCTTCTGAAAAGACTTCTTGTTTTACCTGAGGAGACAAGGTTGGAGCTGCGGGTGCTGCTGTGGGTGCTCAGAGTCTGACAAAATTCCTTTAGCAAATTTTTTACATGAAATCAAGTGCCTATCCGTGAAAATGTCAACGATATAGCCTAATGGGATACCATTGGTCCTACTGACAGTCTTCAGATTTCTACGAAGTATGACATAGTCTTTTTTAGGCAATCCAGGGAAGAATAAGGGTGAACAGTAAAGAAGAATAGGTAAAATACGCGAGTTGACAAACTGTAAGAGGAGGGGTTGGGTTATACCTGAGTGCCTCAACTTCTTAATGTAAAAAGTCAGTCAGAAATCGCTAAGACATGGGAAGACCAGGATAGGTCAGAAGAAAGAATTAGTCCAAGATACTTAACTTCGGACTTGATTTCTATATCAGTGTCATCTATTTTGCAAGGGTCATAGGAACCAACAGCTTCATTCAACTTTCGTTTGCATCGGAAACTGAAATTAACAGTCTGGCATTTGGAAGGATTTAGTTTAAGACCGTTAGACGAAGACCATTTGCTAATTCCTGATAGA